CGTGGAGAGGCCACCCTGGTGGATCACTGGACAGATCCTCATTACTTTACCGCCGCATTCCCAGCCTTGTTTCCGACTGGCTTCGGGGGCCATCTCGATGAGCGAAGTATCCCGGTGTCACTCGGCGCTTTTGCCGAGTGGGCTTTGCGTCACCACAGTAGGAGGTGGGTCGCTTTCTTTAAAAAAGAAAATTTAAAAAGTGATGCTTACTTCTGCTTATTCGCGTAGGTTCGCACGCCACAAAACCTTCATGTATCTGCTGTATGATGTGATCCAGCTCCGGAAGTCGTCGATGGGCAACGCGTTCCTCATCAAACGGCAGAATTGGCAATCAGCTATGGACGATATAGCCTCTCTGACGGTGAGCCAGCTCCAGGATGCAGCGAAGGCGGTCGCAACTGGCCAGAGGATTGAGGATCCAATCATCCGACGACTGTTGCGAAATATCGAGACAATCGGCATGCAAGTCCCGGGATCTTTCGCCCAGAAACTAAGAATGCGTTCTGAGATTCGAGGACTGATTACCCGGTTCGGCATGCCCGCTTTTTGGATCACTATCAACCCGTCCGACCTGCGAAACCCCCTGGTCCTGATCCTGGCCGGCGTAGAGTACTCTGGGGACATCTTTACCACTGCAAATGCCGCTATCCGTGAGGCTGCTGCTACCTCTAACCCGGTGGCGGTCGCCGATTTCTTACATCACATCTGTAAAGCCATCCTGGACGGACTTTTCGCTACTAATACTGGCCGGATCGGTATCCTTGGCGACCTCTCGAACCATTTTGCTGTTGTCGAGACGAACGGCCGAGGCATGTTGCATCTCCACGGATTGGCATGGGCAAAGGGGAATCTGGCTTTCACTAGTTTACGGGAGCGTCTTCTCCAGGATAGCGACTTTGCAGCTCGCATGATTCGCTACTTAGAATCAATCATTATCCAAGGCGTTGATGAGAGTATTCCACACGACCCCGAAGTGAACCTTCCCAGCATGCCACCATCGGCCAAAGGCTTCGAATCCGATGACGATTTTCATCTCCAACTATCTCATGATAGCAATTGCGTCGCTCGTAGAATGCAGGTTCATTCCAAAAATCATCTTACCACGTGCTTCAAGTACCGGCAAACTGGATCCAGAAAGAATGCTTGTCGATTCGGCATGCCTCGATATCTCGTCCCTACCTCGACCATAGATGAGTTTGGATTGATTCACCTCGCTCGAAGTCACGCTTGGATCAATCCGTGGAACCCGGCCATCGCCAGTTGTGTCCGTTCCAATCAAGACATCTCCTGGATTCCAACGATCTCCAAGTCTTTGTCTCTGATCTACTATATCACAAATTACGCCACGAAGTATGATGTCTCTCCATGGCAGATAATAGCTAAGGCAGCTCTGTTGAAGCAATCCATTGAGAAGGCAAAGGTTGCTGAGCCACCAACAGCGACAGACCTGCGACTTCGAGAAAAGGGTGTCAATAATTTTGCACTACGCTGCTTTAATGCTCTCTCTCATGATCGAGAAATCAGTGGTGTACAGGTCGCCAGCGTCTTGCTTCAGCTACCAACCTATTACACGATCAATTACAACTTCGTCCGCATCAACCTATGGTGGCTAAGGCGATACATCCGGGCGATCATTCAGCCGGATAACCCTGAAAGTAGTCACCCTTCTGATCCTGTAGCAGAAGAACCTTGCAGGTACGAAACTGGCGACGCCGCCCCCGTAAGCATCTTTGACGATTATAAATGGCGTGGACCGAACCTGGCTCCTCTTGCGTTATTTGAATACTGCATGCTTGTAAAGACCAAGAATATACGCGATGCCATTGCGAACGACATGGACTTTGACCCGAACCATCCTAGATATACCACGCACGTACAGCGCCTGGCGCGCACCTCATCCCAGGTGGCTACCGTGACTTTCAACGGACATCTAACTGAATTCCAGGCCGCGGAAGACGCGATTCCAGGAGGCCATCCGAAAACGACCGCGGTCAAGAATGACATATCCGAGATATTATTGGGACTCTTTGTTCCCTGGCATCACTTAACGAACCTCTTCCGACGCTATGCGACAAAACGGGACGCCTGCATTCAAGTATGGGCGGCCGTTGAATCAACCCTCACATTTCACAACCGAGGATTTGCAAGAAACATCGAACTCCTACGGAAATCCAAGGAAGACTGCCAGGCTGATGCAAAGATGTGGAAGTCAGCAAACGGTGCCGCTGACTCATTTCGCCATGATGTTGATGACTTTGAGCCTGCAAGTCTCGGTTCTGATGAAGAAGACGGTGATGAATTCTTTCACCTTCAGGATGAGAATTTTAACCTGGAAACATTGATCGCAGCCTACCACTCCATCAGCAAAGCATGGCATCGTGAGACTCTACTCACTGGACGGCGGATCCCTCCCTTGCTCCGTGCGATACCCCAAACTCGAAGCTTAGCTCTACAAAACCTTCAGCCACTCGACATCTTACGCACTCCTGCGTACGCAACATCGGGCCTAAGGTTCATCCCACCGTCTACTTTACAGGCATGGGAATTTCGACTGAAAGGTTTCACCAACCTTGATCATGAGGAAAGCATGGATCATGAGGTTGCGACCTCTAGCTCTGCACTTGACAATTTCGAAGCCCAGATTGAAGATAGCACCTTCCAGCCCATGCTGGCTAGCTCCGATATGGCCCCTGCTATGGATGGTCGCCAGTCTCGGGTTGGACATAATCCCACCGGCGCCTCTCTCACCTCCCTGGTATGTGAAGTGATCCCACTAAATCGGAAACAACGGATGATCGTAGAGAAGATCCTTTCTGAGTCGTTGGCCTGGGCCGAGCACCCTTATGATCCAACGCAACGCGAACAAACCCTCCTCTATGTTGGAGGTGAGGGCGGCACCGGGAAGAGCCAGATTGTTACCGCAATCGTCGCTGGTATGGATCTTATTGGAAGGAAGGACGAGGTGATCCTCACGGCACCAACAGGTGCGGCCGCGGATAATATCGGGGGCAATACGTACCATACATCCTTAGGGATCTCCATCGACCGCTCCCGTCAAGGCACGATGAAAGCAAGAGTGAGACGGCTCTGGTCTCGCAAGACCATCATGTTCGTAGACGAAGTCAGCATGATGGATCTAAACATGATCAGCGTGATTAATAACCACTGCAAAATCGCCAAATCCCTCGACAGATCCTCCCCTGATCTTTTTGGTGGGCTTCCCGTTGTCATCTTTATCGGCGACTTTTTCCAATTTCCACCTGTTCGGGGTCCGGCGCTATGGAAGGAGCCACGAAGGGGAGCCGGCGACGAAGAGAACGGTCGGCTCCTCTGGCATCAGTTCAAACAGGTAATCATCTTGGATGAGCAAATGAGACAGTCAGCAGATGCTCCATTTCGGGACCTCCTATCGCGAGCGAGGACAGGGACTTTGACTGAAACCGATCGATCAGTTCTTAACGGCCAAACCATCACGTCATTGACCAGCCCTCAGTTAGAAGATGCAATCACTGTCGTCAAGCTAAACTCTCTGCGACACCAAATAAATCGCGTTCGGATAGAGCAATTCGCACACACGCGATGCCAAAATGTCTATATATTTCCTGCGCTTCATACGCGAACCAAGTCTACTGGCCCAATCAATTTGCGGCTCCATGCAGACGACTTGCTCCAGCAGCCGGACCAAGGCACTAAGATCCCCTTCCCGGGACTCTTTCTGTACACCCCAAATATGCCTGCAGTCGTACTGACTAACATCTGTACCCTGCTCGGCCTGGTCAATGGTGCTGCGGGGACTGCTGTAGGCATCGTGATAGATCAGACTGGTCCGTTTGTCATCCATAAATAGTCATGAACGTTGCCTGACACCTCTCTGTTAGCCGAATTCTTCCAAATCAACGACCTCTATATCATGTGCACCAAACCACCCGCCTGCATATTGTTTAAACCGGACAGACCCAAACCCACTGCGTTTCAAGACCTTGAACCTTCAGTCCTGCCAGTCTTTCCTTTAGAGCGATCTATCACCCTGAAAGGCTATTCGGTCCGTAGAACGCAAGTTCCCATGTGCCCCGCTTTCAGCCTTACCGACTATAAAGTGCAAGGCTCGACCCTTGTGGCTGCGATCCTCGACCTTAAAGATGACCCCGCGATCCGAGGACAGGATCGTCACCGGAAGTATTGCTCGATGTATGTGCAGCTATCTCGACTGCGTTCCTCTAAAGGTCTTCATCTCCTGCAGAAACTCGACATGCAAGATCTTCGATTCAGACCTGATCCCCGACTACTAACTGAAATGCAAAGACTTCAGGACCTCGAGAAGGAGACGATTGCTGCTTGGCGTGAAGCTTCAAATAAATGAGACCGTGCTCCACCATAACAGAATAGTCCTTGCGATGAATCAACGTAAAGGTACTCGTTTTAGACCTCAAACTTTTGGTAGACGAACACTAGTAGCAATATATACTTAGGGGCCCCATCCCGTGATAAATAATTCAATTTAACTTTACGGATATATTTCTACTCACATGCTCAACCAATCACCCCTTTTGCCACATCGTACTGCGTGGCTTGGCATACATATATTTGACTCATACTTTTATCCGTGCATAATTATTATCCGCGCCCTATCAAAAGCAAGCGTTCATTGTCATACTATCTCTTCAAATCCAGTTCACTTCGTCAACCCTTTTCGTTTCAGGGCCACAGCGTGCGCAGCGCGCGTCTTCCAGTGTGTAACTGGGGTAAATCTAATGGGGAGCTCGGGATCACAGCTGCGAAATCCGCTAGTCATTCTCGTCGTATAGGTCTCTCACCAACCGAGAGTAGCATAATCCGAGTAAAAACGCCTGTTAAGGGAATGTAAAACTACCTCGTCACTGTCGCGTTTTATAAGAAACTTATATAGATTGTTGGACCCCATGTGACCCCCTGCAGTGTTCGCCTCACGTGAGGACGTGCCACCTCCGTCGCGTGTTCGCGTGGGCGTGTTGCGCTGCTCCATGGGTGATTCATGCCACTGCCGCCGTCTCGCATTGCTGGTGGGCGTAGAGCGGCGGTCTGTGGTCGTGCCTAGGGATCCCTCTCCTGCCCTGCGGCCCGACGAGCCGCATGTGCCGTTGGGCCTCACCCGCCAGCATTTCACCGTTTCTACAGAGAACATGCCGCGCCTGGCTTCAACGACCCTTTTGCTGCCCGTCCGGGAAGGTCCTCTACGCCTTCGACCCGCCATGCTTCTGACTGCGGATGGCGTCCGCATCAGGGGAGCGGGTGTTATGTTCTCGCTGCGCCCGTCCTTGGCAGCCCAGTCGATATAAAACTTGCTCTCGCTGTCGGGAGCTGCAACGATACCGGCTGTCCACGTCCAAAATCCAAGCTCCCACCGCGGTGCCGTCTTCTCTTCCTGCTGCTCCTACTGTTCGTCCGTCGTTTACAGACGCCACCCTTTCTGAACAGCGTGTGCTCTGTTCGGGCTGTGCGCGACCTTGGCAATCTGCTCGGTATAGGGTCTGTGATGACTGCCGCCATAAAGCTCGAATGCGGCGGCGGCGGCATCGTCCGCTGCCTGTACGTGCTTCGGTTAACCCTGACGCGCAAGGGGAGCCCTGCTTCCTTATATCCGTCAACCGCCTATTATTCCAGTGCAACCTGTATGGTGGAAACTCCTTGCCCAGGCTGCAGTCCGGCCCTTCTCTCAGGACTGGTCAAGGGACTGCTCCTTCTGCGGTGTGCTCCTTCTTTCCACTGAGGCTGATGGCTGGTGCTGTCGGCGAGGCCGCAGACGCCTACCTCACCTACCACCATTCACGCCAGCTGTGCAGTCTCTCCTGGACCGGTATCAAGGCCGTGTGTCTGCCATGAGCCGTCGGCTCCATAACCTGTTTGTCTTCTCCGCCATCGGCACCACTGGCCAATTCGTTCGATTCCAAGGTCAGGCGAACGTGGTCCTAGAAGGCCGGATCTACCACCGTTTGCTGGATGTCGCGGATACGGGTCACAGCATGCACTGGTTTCTTTATGACGAGTCCGAACGAGGTCTACGGGCAAGGCATCATGACATCCCTAATGACATTCTACATGGGATACGCGATTTTCTCAGTCTGGTTAATCCCTATGTCCGCCTATGTGCGGACCTTGCGGCACGCCGTCAGTCAGGTCCCGGACCAAACAGTCGCCCTCGCTGTTGAGCTCTCTATCCCTCCTGCGGGTGGTGAGCTCGCTGCAGTTATCACTGCGGAAAATCTCCGCCGCGTAGCCCCGCGACAGGTCGTCTTTTACAGAAAAGGTGGCCTGCAGCCACGGTTCGTTCCGACCCTGTCTTGCCAGTACGAGCCGCTACAATATCCACTTCTCTTTCCACATGGCACGCGAGGTTGGGGCTTTCTCGACGAGTCCCGGAAAAACATACCTTGCACGCTGATCCAATGGTACCGCCACCTGTTCCTGGGCGAGCCACGCATGCGGATCTATGGCCGTTTGGCGTGTGAATATGCTGTGGACATGTTCTCGCGGACGGAGGAGGAGCGCCTGCACTATCTCAAACGGGGCCGACGCATGCAAGCTGCTGCCATGGATGAGGCTCCAAATCCTGACATCCCCGATCTCTTCGAGAACAAAATCCCTGCCGGTTTCATGGGGTCCCGGGCCTGGGCTTCGGACCAGGTGGCTGACTCCCTCGCGATCGCGCGACAGCTGGCCAAGCCGTCACTGTTCCTCACCATGACGACCAACCCTAACTGGCCCGAGATTCAGTCCCAGTTGCTCGCAGGCCAACATTTCACAGACATCCCTGCGGTGGTGTGCCGTGCGTTCCACGGACGACTCTGTGGGCTGAAGGCCTTTATGAGGGAGAAATTTGGAGGCCTCATGTACGAGATATGCGTTACAGAGTTCCAGAAACGGGGTCTACCACACGCGCATCTGGTCGTTAAGCTCCAACATGAATTACCTTTGAGCCAACTAGATGGCTTCATCTGCGCCGAGTTACCAGATCCGGACGAGGACCCTGCCCTACATGCAGCGATCGGCAGATTCCATATGCACTCACAGAACCACTTGGACCGGTCCACGTCACGCTGTAACCGAGACGGCCGCTGCATTTACGAGTACCCTCAACCTATCAACAACCAGACATGGATGATCTTGGTCGTGTCCATTACCGCCGACGCAAGCAGGAAGATCGATGGGTGACTCCTCCTGTACCCGCCCTAGTGCACCTGCTCGACTGCCATATCTATGCGGACGTGTGCTCTACAGCGACGATCTTCCTTTACCTGTTTAAGTACCTCTTCAAAGGACCCGATCGGGCGCGCTTTGGTATTCGGGCCCTCCACGATGCCCGGGCAGACAATGAGGACGACCAAATAGATGAGTTCAGAGACGATATGAACGCCCGTTACCTCTCTTCGTCCGAGGCTGTCTACCGCATCCTCAACTTCCATACTGTCTCCAAACGTCCTGGTGTCCGCTGCCTCTCTGTCCATCTGGAAGGCAAGAACTTAGGGAGGATGCACGATCGAAACCAACCGGGTTACTCCGAGATGAGCGACCTGTTGTGGTACTTCAAACGCCCATCCACAGAAACCTTCTCAGGCTTGAAGTATACCGAGTTCTTCAGCCTTTTCTACCTAGAGACGGTGCCCCTGGATGTTCCACTACACAGAGGTCAGACCCTCATTGCTACTGTCACCACCGAAAAGGGACCATGCCAAAAGGTGTTGCGCCGTCGAGTCAGCCAGCCTATTGTCACCCGACTTCAGACCGTCCCACTTCGTCTGAAGGAAACGTTTTACCTACGCGCACTGCTCCAGGTGCGGCCAGCGAACAGCTTCGAAGATGTCCGCACTATCCGGGGGCACTGCTATCCCACATACCAGGAGGCTGCCACTGAGTTAGGACTCTTCCAGGATAACCACGAGGCCGTGTACGCGATGAATGAAGCGATCACAGCCTACAGCCGCCCGTCCCAGCTCCGCTTTCTCTTTGCCCAGCTTCTGTCTAACCTTCCATTTCCAGCTGTGGAACTATGGTCCCGCTTCCACGGCGATCTCAATGCTGACTATAGACTACGTCACCCTACGGCCCACGCCACAGACCTTGCCTTGCAGGACCTGGCACGCTATCTCTCAGCACAGGGATCGTCCTTGGCACAGTGTGGCCTACCGGAGCCCGTTCAACGTTGTGCGGAGGTGGATTTGGAACTTGCCTTCTTCCAGACCCAACTGGTATCTATCCGCGGGAGGCATAAGGAGGCCTACGGTAGGATGAATTCGGATCAAAAAGGCATCTTCGATCATCTCCTAGACCAATCGGACATTGGCGGCTGCTACTTCATCGACGGCCGTGCGGGTCGCGGGAAGACATTTTTGATGAGCGCCATGTGTGATCGCGTTAGGGCAGACGAGCGCATCGTATGCGTGACTGGAACCACCGCCCTCAGTGTGATCCATTACGAGCGGGGTCGGCCGGCCCACTCGGCCTTTGGCATTCCTGTTCAGGAGTCTGACATGGGCTTGGTGTCTAAGGTCAGCCCCCAGTCAGGTCGTGCAGAGCTCCTACGCCAGGCCTCGCTCCTGATCTGGGAGGAGCTGCCGATGGCGAAGAAGGCGGTCGTGGAGTGTGCAGACCAGCTCCTTCAAGATATCATGAGGAATGACCTGCCATTTGGAGGAAAACTCTTCATTGGACTAGGCGACTTTCGTCAGGTGGCACCAGTCGTCCGCAGAAGTTCTGGGCCTACAGCAACTGTCAACAGCTCTATCCGCACCTCCACGCTCTGGAACCACTTTAAGGTCCTGCGGCTGACTACCCCGGTCCGACAGGCCGGGGATCTGGTATACGCAAGATGGGTGGACCAGGTAGGAGATGGTGTACACCCCTATGAGACAAGTGTGCCACTGCATCACTTGCAGCATCTTGACGACCTTGACGCTGCGGCAGACTTCCTCTTCCCACAAGATTCCGTCTCTACCTCCGCCGCTGCTGTCCAGCACGCATTCCTTAGCCCGTTTAATGCGCGCGTTGATCTGTTTAATAAGCTCATCTTAGAACGGTTACCGGGGCGTGCAGGTATTCCGATTTTTGCTAATGACTATTCCCTGTAACATGATTCTAATCGCTTGACGCAACTCACCCTTCATGCTCCTCTGGCTAACCTTCCACTGCGCCAGAGACCTATTACAGTCATGATACGATTAAAGAACTAGACGATTCCACCTTCAATCTCCCCACGGGTTCAGAGGCGGATCTTCTCTCGGTATTGAACGAGCCCGGAATACCCCCGCATGAGCTCTCACTCAAAATTGGCTCCGTTGCTAGCGTGATGCGGAATCTCTCCATCGAGAAAAACTTGGTCAAAAACGTGAGGGTCCAGGTGGTTAACCTGCTACCGAATGTCGTGCAGGTACGGTTACTGCAACGAGCATGCACGCCTGACACCGAGTCGCCGACGTTCTACCTGCCACGGATCACATTCGAGTTTCGGCCTCACCGCGCGAATTGGACGGTGCAACGGCGGCAATTTCCGCTGCGTCTAGCTTATGCCACCACCTTCAACAGCTGCCAGGGTCTCACTCTGGACTGGGTTGTGCTAGATCTCACCCTGCCGGTCTTCGCCCATGGCCAACTTTACACTAGCTTATCCCGCGTCCGCTCTGCCGTAGACATCCGTATTCTCCGAGACCCAAATGACATAGAGCAAGACACCATTAATGTCGTTTATCACGAATTGCTACTGCCTCTGTGACAGCAGATAATGGGGCGAGATTCGACCTTTATGCAGCCACCATGCCGACGTTCGAGATTCACATATATAGAACCTACGTTGAGAACTTTTATTTAGTCCCATAACATCGATATTTCAAGAATGAAACTCCCTACCATCCTACTCGCCGCGCCCGGTAGCAGCGGCCGAAGGCCGCTGCCAACGCGACTCGTAGACGCTGTAGATGTAAATGCGGTGGACACGTGATAGAGACCTAGGTGATTCTATTGGTTAGCTACTAGACCCGCCTAGTCCCACCGAATGGTGCTAAAATTACATGTAACATGTACAGTGTCCTAGGATGTATAAGGCTAGTGCCAAACTGACGCAATGCGCCAAAGCTCTACATATAAAGACCTAAGTAGATCGATCATGGTTACTTTAACGGAAGGAAATCAGAGGAAACAGTTTTGTTGTGACATATTAGCGCGATGCGCAATTTTGGAAAGAACAAAAGAAGGATAGCTCAATCGTCGTAGCGTAAATGTTTTGTGAACAGGAAAATAAAAAGGATAAAAAGGAAAACAAAGGAGAAGAAGAAGGTGGGGCATAATG